TTTTTTTTCTGTTGATTAGGACCGACATGGAAATTGCATTTTGGTGGTTTGACTGCGTTTCTCTCCCACCCAGCCCCCTGTCTGTTTTCTCGGCTTGGTAAGTGCCACGTCAGCAGGCCACGACAGTAGCAGTGCCACGACAAACGGTGCCACGTCAGCAGTGCCACGACAACAGTGCCACGTCAACAGCAGGACCACGTCAACAGTACTGCGTCATCAACACCGTACAACTAACTGCAGCTTATGCTCTGACGCAGCAACCACATCGCAGCACGAGAAGGGCGGGCAGCCACAACAGAACAACAGCCACCTTTGCCCTACCCCTTTGAAATGGACACCCAGGGCAACCCCACGGTGGCACAAGCGGTTATCGGGTAGCTGAAAATTCAGGAATGAAAATTCTGAAGTGAGAGTTTTTGGAAGTCCGAAAATCATGAATGGTCCTGAAATGGTGAAAGGTCCAAAGACCCTGAAAACCACCTGTTTAGGCAGGCTGCATCCTGAAGTGGTCAAGTGAGAGTTTTGGGCAGTCTGAAAATCCTGAATGGTCTTGAAGTGGTGAAAGGTCCGAAGACCATGAAAACCACCCTTCACCACTTGAGGATGCAGCCTGCCTAAACAGGTGGTTTTCAGGGTATTCGGAGCTTTCACCACTTCAGGACCATGCGGGATTTTCAGACTTGAATGGTCCTGAAGTGGTGAAAGGTCCGAAGACCCTGAAAACCACCTGTTCAGGCAGGCTGCATCTTGAAGTGGTGATGAAAAATACGACTGATGTTAAACTACTCTCCACGGTGGACAATGCCGTATCCGACAGTCCATGTGAGGCGTGCAGCTCGAACCCCCCGGCCCCACAGGCCCAGCAGGAGGGTTCCACTGCGACTTCTGTGGGAACCCTCGACGCTGCACCAATCCGGCAGCAAGGAGAGACCATGACGACCTTCCTGGCCCGCCTGAACACCTATATGCAACAAGTCCAAGAGGAGCAGCAACGTGAGGCAACAACCGAAGCAGCACGCCTTAATGTCATTGCACGTGCAAAAGATCAACGACGACGGCAGCAAGCTGACGCAGCTGCCAACCACAACAAAGCTCGAAGAGATGCCACGTTTGTCCTCATGCAGCAGGAAGTCGCTCATACCGCTGCACTCCAAGCATGGCATGTTGATCCGGCGGAAATGACGGAACCAACTTTGGAGGACCAGACTAAGTCAGCTCTCGCCAACATGATGCACCAAGTCATCCTCACTTGTAACTGACAACAAGTGGAGCTGGCTGGGCAGGCACGTCCCATCACTGAGTACGAGGAGACTCTCAAGAGTCTCCACGCCCGCCTTGACGTGCTGGAGAAGGATGACGTGCCGCACAGGCACACGACATCGTCAAGCATTGAGCCATCAATCCGCGAGCTGGAAGGATGCCTGGATCACCTAGTCGCGCTTGTCGGCGATTTGAACACTTTCCGACACCCGACGACCATCAGCCAGCAAATAGCCGCCCTACAAGCGGATCTGCGTCAACTGCAGCAGCAACCAACTGGGACCTGCAACAACATGACACCGAAACAATTCAAGATGCCGAAGTTCAGCATCGACAAGTTTGATGACTACCACAAGGCGGATCCCATCAGTTGGTGGCAAGGGTTCACCAATGAGCTTTCCATCCACTTGGTCCGGCCCGAGTCGAAGATCTCAGCGCTTTACGTATGTAGCACCGGTGCCAGCCAAGTGTGGCTCAACCACCTGGCTCAAACCGAGGGTGTCGAAGTCTCTAAGCTTCACACCAAGATCACTTGGGAGGCCACGACCGAGAAGTGGCAGAAACGCTTCATCGTCGATGACGCTCAGGGCAAAGGCGTGAACCGGATCTTTAGCATGCATCAAGGCAGCCAGCCAACACGCAAATGGCTAACCGAGTGGCAGAAAATCGTGACGATTTCGAATTTGGACATCCCATTCGTACATCTTCGTCGCAAATTCTTCCAGCGGTCAGTTGACGCGTTGAGCACGACCCTTGGGGAGTACAGCCTGTACACGGACTTCGACCAGATCGTGGAGAAGGCGCGCGAAGTCATCCAAACCAATCGGTGGGCAGCCAATGAGCGGCGAAGCCAACCGAATTTTGTGGAAAAGGGCAAAGGCCCACGGCCGCAGCAAGTCGCTGTTGTCCAAGGAAATGGACAAGAGAACGACCAGGCGATGACTCACGAGTCTAGTGAAGGAGACGGAGTCAACGCCTTTCCGCTACGACGCAACAACAACAACAACAAGAAAAAGGCAAAATCTGCATCAACAACGGAAGCCGAACAACCGAATGAGCCATGGAAGAAGTTCAGCCTTACGGAGGAACAATACAAACTCTGCCAGAGGTGGAACTGCTGCTACTGGTGCAACAACACCAAGCATACGACGTCGCAATGCCCCGACAAAGGCAAAGAAGACGTCCGTCCACGACAAAGCTCGGGAAATTGAGCTTCGCGGGAAGTGAGGCGACTCCACTTCCTACTCCGCTGGACACGGTTGCCTTGCTAACAACCTCCTCCACGTCCGGGGAACATGCGTATGTCGCCAGTCTTCGCGAAGATTATGAAGACTATGCTGTCCAATTGGCCCCGCCGTTGGACCAACCTCTCCACGTGCAAGATTCATTTGCGTGTGCGACTTCATCACGATCGCCAAGTGAACCAGCATCCTCGCCAACATCACTCGGGGACTCGTCGGTGTGGTCAAGACTTGAGGAACTCGACCCATTGACACCGGCGGAATTCCAATGATTGCCTCTTCCCCCATCTAGTTCCTTGTCGAAGCCGCATTGCAACACCCTAATGGCGGAGCTACTCAACTACTTGCACGCAACAGTACCAGCTCCGTTGATGGAAGACGGAGTAGAGGTTGTTGACCTTCGCAAGTACATTACGAAGATTGACCGCGAGTACGCCACGCAACGGTACGACGACACCGACGCACCGTTACTCTACATCCACATTCAGATTGGGAAGGCGACCTGCAGCGCCTTGATTGATTGTGGAGCTACTCACAACTACATCAGCCAGGATTTCATGACCCACACTGACCTTGGGCCCCGCGTTCGAAGGAAATCGCAGCCCACACAAGTCACGTTGGCCGATGGTCGTACGCACAAGTCCATCGACCGGTGCATTGACTCCGTCCCCATGTACTTCGCCCCGCTTGCACGCGAGGCCGTGTCCTTTGACATATTGGACACAAAGTTCGACATGATCTTGGGCATGTCATGGCTGCTCAGCGAGAACCACCTGGTGAACTTCTACCATGAACGGGGTACTTATGCCATGTACGGTCCCCCCACCTCATCCTTCGATTGGTTGTCATCATGTCATGTGGTCTCCGCGACAAGCATTCACAACTCCATCGCACGGAACGACGTGGAGGAAATGGGCATTTGTTTCTTGCACGCTCTCCCTCCTCCCGACGAGCCAGTGGCGGAACAGCCACCGGATCCACACATTGTACAACTTCTTGACTCCTATGGCGACGTCTTTGAAGCCCCCGCCGGAATAGTACGGAATCGGCCAATTCGGCATGAGATCATCCTCGAAGATGGGGCCGTACCTCCGCGCATATGTATTTACCGCATTAGCGAGGAGGAACTCGAAGTGCTTCGAACGCAACTCGATGACATCATTGACAAGGGTTGGATTCGCCCTAGCTGCTCGCCCTACGGTGCCCCCGTTCTCTTCGTCCGGAAGAAGAACAAGGAGCTACGCTTATGCATTGACTATCGCAAGCTTAATGCTGAAACCATTAAGAATGTCGGCCCGCTTCCACGCATCGACGATCTTCTCGAACGCTTGGGCGGCGCCAAGTATTTCTCCAAGTTGGACCTCAAGGCTGGTTACCACCAGCTCGAAATCCATCCGAGAGATAGGTACAAAACCGCGTTCAAGACACGGTACGGGCACTTTGAGTGGGTCGTAATGCCATTCGGCCTCACGAATGCCCCAACCACCTTCCAAGCGGCAATGACAACGGAGTTTCGTTACATGTTGGACCAGTTCGTGCTCATCTACCTCGATGACATCCTGGTGTATAGCCGAACTTTGGACGAGCACATCGTGCATCTACGTGTTGTTTTGGACAGCCTACGTACGACCAAGTACAAGGCCAATCGAGCCAAGTGCGAATTCACACAGCAAGAGCTCGAGTACTTGGGCCACTTTGTGACACCGCAACGCCGGAACCGACCAACACCATGGAGGTCCGCTCTTTTATGGGATTGTCTGGGTACTACCAACGCTTCATTGGAGGATACACATGGATCGCCGCACCCTTGTCAAGATTGTAGTCTCCACAGGTGCCCTTCCACTTCACCGATGAAGTCTGCAGTTCATTCCACAAATTGAAGACGACATTGCTCCTCACTCCCGTCTTGAGTATCTACGATCCCACCTTGCCTACGAGAGTGACTACGGACGCTTCCGACTACGACATGGGTGCAGTTTTGGAACAACACGATGGAGTAGACTGGCATCGGGTTGAGTACTTCAGCCAAAAGGTGCCTCCCATCAACTCGGTTGATGATGCGCGGAAAAAGGAGTTGTTCGCGTTCGTCACGGTACTCAAGCATTGGCGATACTTCCTCCTCGGGCGTCGTAGGTTCACTTGGGTGACCGACAATAACCCATTGACCTACTACAAGACACAAGACACAGTGAGCAACACGATTGCTCGGTGGATGTACTTCATCGATCAGTTCGACTTCACACCGAAACACATTCCGGGCCTCTCCAACCGAGCCGCAGATGCTCTCTCGCAAAGATCAGATCTTTGCGCAGTGATTCACCACACGTTCAGTTTCAACGAAGCCCTTCATCAACATTTTGTGCGAGCATACAAGTCCGATCCCGAATACGGCACGCTCTACGAGCAACTATCCTCGGATCACTCGCTGGCCAACCATTATCACATCGTCGATGGCTACCTACTGCTTCACTCACAAGGCAAGGACTTACTATGTGTCCCACACGACCGTCGCTTACGGACTCGTCTCCTCGGCGAGTACCACGACTCGAGACTCATCGGCCACCTCGGAGTCAACCGTACGATCGCAAGACTTTGACAACGATTCCGGTGGCTTGACCTCATTACTGACGTCACTCAGCATTGCGACTCTTGCGAAGTTTGCAGACGAAGCAAACCCCGCAATCGCAACCCCTACGGTGAGTTACGACCGTTGCCTATTCCACGGAAACCCGCCCTCTCCATTGCCATGGACGTCACTGGCCCGTTCCCCCGGGACCGCTTCGGGCACGACGACATTCTCACGGTCGTTGACCATTTGAGCAAGTACGCACAATTCCTTCCTTGCAAGTACTACGCCACGACTCTGGAACTTGCACGCCTCTTACACACCGGCTGGATTTGCGGCCACGGCGTTCCGGAAGACATCGTCAGCGACCACGCCGCTCGGTTCATGTCGGCATTTTGAACATCTCTCATGAAAGAGTCCGGCACCGAGATCAAACAAAGTTCGGCTCGGCATCCGCAAACGAACGGGCAGATGGAGCGGGCACATCAAACCGCTCAAGTAATGCTTCGCACACTCGTCCGTACGGATCAGAAGGATTGGGTGGACCGCCTCCCCGACATCGAATTCGCCTACAACACTTCGGTGTACCCGACGATCGGCGTGACTCCGTTCGAGTTACACCATGGTGGCCGGGAAGGCCACATTTTCGCTAATCTTCCTTTTCCAAGGACTGCCGACAGACGCCGCTTGTTCGCCCGCCTCCGTTCGGAAGTATAGGGACTCGTTGGCTAAAGCCCGCACCAACATGCAAAAGGCTCAAGTCCGCATGCAACAACAAGCTAACAGGCGTCGCATGCCATGCCCCATCCGCGCCGACGACCTTGTTTGGGTCTCCACGGAAGAGTTTGCACTCGAGCAGGATGTATCCCACAAGCTACTTCCAAAGTGGTTTGGACCATGGCCCGTCACATCAGCCGCGGGTGATGAGCCCGATGGCCCCTCATTTGTGATTGAAATCCCGCCGCATCTCACGGTGCACCCGGTTTTCCACGCCTCCAAGCTGGCCACATATACACCAGCCAAGAGAGACGACTTCCCGGGACGACGATCACAGGAGCCTCCTTCCATGGATGGTCATCAGGAAGTCGACCGCGTCATCATGCATCGCAAGCACGACAACAAGCCTATGCAGTACAAAGTCACATTCAAGTGGTGCAACCCCGATGAGACGCGATGGATTTCCCGGGCAGCTTTGCGAGCCTCCGCTCCTGACATCTATGCTCATTATGAGAAGAAACGGTTAGCGACGGAAGCTGCACAACCTCCCACCCGGACTCCAGTCCCTCCCTCCACAAGACAGCTTCGCCCTTGCAGGTAAGCTCGGTCTTTCAAGGAGGGGGGAGTGTGGCATACTCCGTACCACACGGGCCTAGCAGAGCCCGACCTGGTAGACTAAGGGTCCGTAGGGGTAGAGCCTGTTTCGTTTCAGCCTAAAAGCTTGAAACGAGGGCCTACAAGCCCTGTGTCATTTCGGCCTCCAGCCTGAAAATGACGGGCCATTTTTCAGGCCCTCGCAAGATCGACCTACCCTGAAACTCAGGCACTAGACCGGGGTTTTAGATCAGGCTATCATGGCCTATTTTGTGGAGCGTCAACCCCAGGGTCTGGCACGTTTTGGCAAAGGCACAAGCAGCCTCCCGGACGGGCCAGCAATAAATAAGGCTGACCCGCCCTGTAGGCTGCAGGCAGTTCCCAGGCACTTCACGTGTAGAGGGCAGGAGGTACTCTTCAGGACTCGGCAACGACACTCTGGAGTAGTGGTAGCGATAGCAGTAGTCTTCAGCGCTGGGCGCTGGTAGAGAGAGAGGGAGATGGTTGGCGGAGGCCAGAGAGACTCACATGCGGCGCCATAGCTCTAGCTTCGTCTTCGATGCACCTGCAGCAAGGCGCCACCTTTACAGGTTAGTATTGGCCAGAGAGAGAGAGAGAGAGAGAGAGAGAGAGAGAGAGAGAGAGAGAGAGAGAGAGAGAGAGAGAGTTCTTCTTTTTCCTCCTCTAAGTCCACCATCTCTTCC